ATTTCTAGCTAATATCTCTATAGTTCTGTTTTTATTTCCCCTACCTCAATTCCTTCAAACCAAACAGAGCCAAGGCAACAGAACGACTAACAACTAATATAATCACATGACTAATTTGTGAAATTATTTCATCGAAACATTGGTGTGCATCTAATAATTATTGATTTACTAGTTGGTTTTTATTGGGACAAAAACTTTTGAGAAACAATAGAAGAAATATTTTAAAGAAATTAAAGCATGAATTAAATTAGTTCCTAACATCCATTAATGTTTAATGCTCATGTGTTTGAATCATTTAGAATGATTTAAGTTGAATAGGGGTGTAACTGAGTCATGCTGACTCGCGAGTCGGCTCGAGCTCGACTCGTTAACGAGCTCGTGAGTCGAGCTTATCGAGCTCGTGAGTCAAGCTCGAACAGAATTTGGAGTTTGTTGGGCTCATCGAGCTCGAGTTCGAACAACTATCTGCTCGACTCAATTACTCGTTAAGGGTCTCGCGAAACGGTAGGGGACGGAAGGCAGAACAGAGCGGCAGGGAGCGAATCAGAGCTAGTGCTGCGTGCGAACCGCGACACGTGTGGGGGGGGGGCACGTTCACGATGGTAGAGGCGGGTTTGTGCATACCACATTCGAGACAGAAGCGGCAGGTGCATGTGAACCGCATTCGCGGGTGAAGAGAGCCGCTCGACGAGCTAGATTTCTGTGGCGAGTTGAGCTCGATTCGAGTTCGAGCTCGGGATTTGGCTTATGAGTAGAGCTCGAGTTAGGCTTGACTTGACTCGTTTGTACGCTAGGCTTGAAGGTTGCTAGTTGAGCTTTTCATTACAAATATTATAACATCATAAAAGGTCCGCAATAATAACTAGCATTAGCATTCAATTGTTGATTTGGATGGTTAAATTTGATTGGGCTTGTGGAGGGGATTATTGTGCTATGGAATGTAGGTTGGGCGTGATAATCAACGTAATTTGATAGTTATCCCAACTTAAGCCTTCTTGTAAGGATCCACTATTAGTATTATTTCTTTATTGATAATTTAATGTTGGACTAAACCACCCACATATCACTATAATGATTTTCTCTTCATGTGTCCATTCTTTTTCACAACAAATGTAATCCGAGGTCACTCTCTTGCTCCAACAATTCAAGAATTCTGATGAATTATGTGCTCATCTAAGTAGTTCCTTGTTCCCATAATGTTTGGATCCTTATAAGGAACTTGCTTAGGAGTGTATCCATTACTTGCCTCATTTGGACCCATTGTTTTCTTCCAAATATTATTGTTAATCTTATACTCTGAGAATTAGACGTAGTCTAAAGTTCCCCTTGGTGGGCTAATTTGTAAGTGTGCAGTCCAATGAACATCTCCTCCAATAAAAATTCTTTCTTCAAGCGGTATCTTTTGTATTAATTCTTCTAAGTCATTCCAAAAATTTAATTTAGTACTCATATCTAAACCTACTTGAGGAGCATAAGCACTTATAATATTAACAATCTTATAATCAACAATAATCTTTAAAGCTATAATTCTATCTCCAATCCTATTAATTTTTATAACATTATCCTTTAAACTCTTATCTATAATAACACCTACACAATTTTTAGTACGACTCCTACCCGAATACCAAAGTTTAAATCCTAAACTATCAATTTCCTTAGCCTTCTCTCCAGCCCACTTAGTTTCATGAATGCACAAAATATTTAACTTCCTACGAATCATAATATCTATTAATTCCATTAATTTTCCTGTAAGGGAACCAATATTTCAAGTTCCTATCCTAATTTTAGTTTCATGGACTAGCTTCTTTGCCCACATCCATCCTTGATGTGGGAACTCTTGCCTATTTAACACTGCACCCGGGCGCCGGTGCAGCGGCCCTTGCACACTTGTCACTGTATTCAGTCCATACAACACTTCGCTTCCAGGTGACGCCCTAGCATTAACACAATTTTCTAAAGGATTCATGTCATTATTGTTCGATAAGTCTTACGCTGGCTGTCGACTACCTAACATAACCCTCCACTTTTCTCATCCAGGACTTGGGACCTAGCAACGGCAGTGTTAAAACATCATCAATGAAATTTAAAAAAAAAATCATAATTACAAGTGGTTGTAGTGGTGATTGCTTGAAACAAGAGGGTGGTCAGTGGTTACAAGGAGAAAGGAGGGTGTTGGCCCATATTTGTGTACCATAACTTCACAATCTGCTTTACATACAGCTACATCCGTACCAAACGAACCCTAAGACATACAAATATAGCCACATATACAACTACACACAATAATTGTCTTAAAGTAGACTACAAAATATATATAATTAAACACATATAAATGCTTGAGTAAAATTATTATTTATTTTTCATAGTCCTTTTGATAGGCCTATGATGCATCATGACAACTCTCTTGTATCACACCAGTACTATTAGGACTCCTTTTAACTTCAATCTTCAGACGAACCTCAAATCTAATCACTTTTAAAAGCTAAAATTAAAACAAACTAATCCTTGTTATATACTTTCATTAGCGAAAAAGCTCAAAATAGTCCTCTAACTATTTTTATGTGGCTAATAATAGTATTACATTTCTCCAACTTGGTCTTTCAACTATGCATAAATACCCTTAAGGACTAAATTGGAATCAATTTTATATAATTGAATGGCTAAATTGAGATCAATTTATATCCTAACTTTCATCGTTTTCTATGAGAGAGACCACAAGAGACCACCTTGGAACATTTTTAAATATTTAGAGAAATATGATACTTTAAAACAAAATTGGAAATATCTGAGGACTATTTTGAAGCTTTTTGTCAATTTCATTCAACGATACTTAAAACTATTGTAGATTACATTTTTCATCAATCATGTTCCTCTCCAATACTCACCACTGAAAATTGTTCAACTTCTTTCAATTTTTCAAGACCCCCCCATGATCTTAAGAAGTTGCACCTCTTACAACCCCTTCTAGTTCAAACTTTCTTGGCAGACTTCTGTTTCTTTTATCACCAAAATAGTTTTCATCCTTTAAATACTCAAATTGCTTAAGATATGATAGAACATCACATCAAAGACTTAGGCTTCATTTGGGACAGCTTTCTTATTGCTTCTTAAAGCAACTTTCTTGGACAAAATTTTAAATTTTTGTACTAAAAAGTTGCTTTATGAAGCAGGAAAAAAGCAGTCCCAAACAAAGCCTTAGTCTTTGCTTGGGACAACTTTCTTAATGATTTTTAAAGTTGCTTTCTAGTTTAAAATTTTTTTGAACTAAAAAAATTTGTACTAGAAAGTTGCTTTATAAAATAGTAAGAAAGTTGTCCCATACGAAACCTTAAGGTTCAGTTTACCTCACATATCAACAACTTTTTTCATTAATTTGAAGCTATAACCAATTTTTGTCACCTTATTTAAAAATTTACAAGTTGAATTTCAAGCCCTCAAAATTAAAACTTAATATTGACATTTATAATTTAGGGTTAAAAAATCAAAAGCTCCTCTATCTATTTTCTATTAAACAAGCACTAAATAATTTAAATATTAGATATGATCACTTTCAAAGCTAACATAAAAACAAACTAATCCTTATTATATAATTTTGAATTGCGGAAAAGCTCAAAATAGTCGTCTAACTATTTTTATGTGGCTAATTATACTATCACATTTATCCAATTTGGTTTATCAACTATGCAGAATTACACTTAAGGACTAAATTGAAATCAATTTTATAAAATTGAATGGCTAAATTGGGATCAATTTTATATCCTAATTTCATCATTTTCTATGAGAGAGACCACAAGAGACCACCTTGGATCAATTTGAAATAATTATAGAAATATGATACTCTAAAACAAAATTGGCCATATATAATAGTCGGAGCACTATTTTAAGCTTTTTATCAATTCCATTCAACGGTACTTAAAACTATTGCAAATTACATTTTTCACCAACCATTTTCCCTTTCAATACTCACCATTGAAAACTGATGAACTTCTTTCAAATTTTTCAAGACCCCCGTGTTTTTAAGAAGTTGCACCTCTTACAACCCCTTCTAGTTCAAACTTGCTTGGCAAACTTCCTTTTCTTTTATCAGCAAAATATTTTTCATACTTTAAATACTCAAATTGCTTGAGACATTATAGAACATCACATCATAAACTTGAGCTTTGTTTGGGATAGCATTTTTACTATTTTTTTAAGCGGCTTTCTATTTTAAAAATTTCTTAAACTAGAAATTTTTATTCTAAAAGTTACGTTAAAAAATAATAAGAAAGTTGTTCCAAACAAAATCTTAAGGTTCAGCTGACTTCACATTCCAACAACATTTTTCATTAATTTGAAGCTACAACCAGTTTTTAAATATCTGACAAAGATAATTAGCGGCGTAAATGAACCCAGCTCAAACGAGTTCATGTGTTGATTAGTTTAACTTGTTAAACAAACGAGCCAAAGTTTCTATATGAATATATACAATATACATATAGTGAGGATGCGCATATATACAAGTGTATATATAAATATAATCAAGAAACTATCTAGCCAAACAAAAAGTTCTTGTTTATATTTGGCTTACTAAATAAAAAAGCCAATAAAATTAATCAAATTCGAGTTGATTATCGAGCCAAACACGAACAACGATCTTAACAACACTAGAGATAATACAACTCAACCTATCTAAAACCAAACCATAAGCAAAAGAAACATAAGCTTATTAAAAAGTTAAATGCTTCGTTTGGGACAGCTTAATTTTAATTTTTGTACTAAAAATTTACTTTAAGAAATAGTAAGAAACCATCCCAAACGAAACCTAAGGCAAAGTGCAACACAAGTTAAATCAGACTACAAATCAAAGATTTTGAATGTACAGTTTACCTAACACATACCAACAATATTTTTGATTAATTTCAGGCTCCAAACCATCGATCTTCAAAGATCATAGATATGCAAGTTGACATATCAAAAACCAAGCCAGAAGCAGCAGCAACATAAGCCTAGTAAACAAATAATGTAAAATTGAACAGAAGTTAATTAATTTGCTGATCTCTTCAAACTTATAAGATTTAAATGGTCTGAGACATGAAAGATCGGAACTATAACTCAAAGCTTTTAAAGGTTCAGTTACCCTCACACATACCAACAATACTTTTCATTAACTAGAAACTCCAACCTGTCATTAAAGATCAGAGATGATACAACTTGACATATCTAAAAACCAGCTAGAAGCAGAAGCAGCAGAAGCTTATTAAACAGTTAAGGCAAAGTTCAGCACAAGCTAGTTAATCTGCTGCTATCTTCAACCCCAATTTCTTCTGTGCAAAGCTCACAAGATTGTCAATTTCTGCATCATCAATGAATCCATCAGCATTTGAGTCGGCCTGCCGGAGTCCCTTCTTACTCTTCCACCAGCTGAACCGGCCACCAATGCTACGAATCGCCTGTCGAAGCTCATGCCTGCTGATTCGCCCATCGCCGTCTGAGTCGAACCTCATGAGCCATTCCTTGAATTCCTCCACTGTCATGCCTGAGTTCAATGAACGCACGTGTTTGATAGCCATAGCAGCTGAAGGGAGATGAAAGGAAGGATGGAAGCTGAGGAGACGAGTTCAAGTTGTATACTTGCAGGTTATATAGAACTACCAATGTTATTGGAGAGGGAGAAGCTTCACGACATCATGAAGTGGCGCTATTCTGCACTTTATTCCATGTTATCCATTGGAATATAGAGGTTTGCTCTGCATATCTAGGTTTGGTGGCAAGATAAGCATATGGTAGCTCCATTGATATCATATTTTACTGCTATAGTTACATGGTAATAATGAATAATTACATAACTCAACATTCTAGTCTACTAAGGTACCATGGGAGTAAAATTTTTATTATGAGGGGTTTCAAAGTTATTCAAATTTGCTTTTAGATGAGTATAATATATGAAGAATTAATCAAAATTTATATTGTTCGTACTCATCTGAAAGCAAATCCATCAACTTTGAGATCTATCATGACCGAACTTCGATTACATTATCCTAAGTCAATTTTTTCGAGAACTATAGCATGTTTCAATCTTGGATACATGAAAGTGAAGAATAGTTTCGCACCGAAAATGGACCAATTCTTGAGTTTAAAAAAAAAAATTTGTGACCCTTCCTTATTAGCTTAAACTCCAATATATAGTATTTCAGTTGATGACCTAGCTGAGATTAGATGAATCTTGTAGTTTTCGGCTTGTCTTGGAAGCCTGTCAATGATTGAGTAAGGTTTAGAGTCGCAGTTAAGGGAGTCATGTTGATTCACGAGCCTACTTAAGCTCAGCTCGATAAATAGCTAGTGACTGAGGCTCGATGAGCTAATAAGTCAAGTTTGAATGAGCTTCGACTTACGAGGTAAAACATAAATGTAAAATACGATTAAAATCTATCAGCACTCAAAAGTTTAAGTACAAAGTTATTAAAATACTAAAATTATATCAAGGGATTTTTTATTATTTCTCTTATAATATCACATTTTTTATCATTTTATTATAACAGTTACCTTGTTTGAATTATAATTATTTTCTCACTTTCATAATAATTGAATCTTCTTGTGACACTACAAGAAAATCACTGATTTCCGACGGAATTTTCCGGCGGCTTTCCGGCGATCAGATTTCCGGCGGCTTTCCGGCGATCAGATTTCCGGCGGCTTTCCGGCGCATTTCCGACGGTTTTTCTCCACGGAATTTTCCGGCGGAATTTCCGACGGCTTTTTCACCTTTCTGGCGGCTATTAAAAATTTAATAAAATGAATAAAATTTTTACTATTTAAATGATTTAAAAAAATTATTAAAACTTATATTAACAATTTAATTAATTTTCATTTTTTAATTAATTATTTAGTTAATTTTTATTTTATATTAAATAATATTTTTTATTTTAAATTAAATAGTTTCATTTTTTAAAAAATTAAAAATTAATTGATTTTTGGCAATGAATATAGTTTAAATAAAAAATTTTCACAAATAAATCGTATTTGCCTCTTCAGCAATTCGGTCGGTTGCTGGAAATTCCTGCCAACCGACCGCTGTTCGAACCTCGTCGCGCGCAGACGCGGGGGAGCGCACGCGTCGCGGGATGCTGGGCCGGATCGAAGCGCGGGAGGCTGGGGCTGAGCGCGGGAACTACGGGGCTGACGCGGGAGCGGGGGTGGCTAAGCCGCGCGGGAGCGGGGGATGGCTGCCGGAGCGCGGGAGCGGGTGGTTGCCGGAGCGGGGTTTATTTTTATTTTTATTTTTAATTTGACCAGCAGTTTAAGACCGCCGATAAGCCGCCGGACAAAATTGCCGCATGAAAAAACCACCGGAATTCATTTTCCTACTCCGTTTTTACCGGCAGTAATTTAACCGCCGAAAAATTACAAAATCGCCGGAAAAGGCCGCCGGAAATGGGTGATTTTCCTGTAGTGTGAGCCAACTAAAACTTGCACAATTAATTGCTCAAATTTGAGGTCAATTAATTAATCAAGCTTGACCTCAAACTAGGAGTGAATCGAGCTGAGCTCAACTTATTTATACCCCTAATTTAAAGGAAGATGACTTATAACCCACCTCAACATAATTGAGTTATGCATGACACATGCAAAGGTATTAAAAAACTTGAAGATTACTATGATATCCATGAAAAATAAACAATAACTTTATATAAAAAAAAGGTTAATTCCTAATATATTAGTAGAGGTTTTATCCATTGCTTGGGCTTCGTTTGGGACAACTTTCTTACTGTTTTCTAAAACAACTTTCTAGTAAAAAATTTTTTATTTCAATAAATTTTTGTACTAAAAAAGTCATTTTAAAAAGCAGTAAGAAAACTATCTCCATTCAAATCTCGATTTGTTAAAAAAAAAACTTTAAAAGTGCCAAACATGATAAACATGTTTGAAAAAAAAAAAATTCTCCTTTTTAGAGAGCAAGCAAAAGGTCTCATAGCTGGGCTATATAGATCTGTGTTTAAGCTCATTTTCAACCCAAAATTTCAAATTTAAGCCTAACCACAATACTCTCACATACTGTAATATCTCTCAGATTACTTTTTCTTTGCTAAAATTAAGCGATATTTTATAGAACACAACACTCTTTCCTTCTCACTTTTTATGGATGATTCTCAACTAATAGGGGTTATCAGATGCTTATTTGCAATCATGTTTGACAGAAGCCTAACTGACGAATCTTTGTACAAAGTTTGATTCTTGCAGCAGCCATTGTAGACCAGAGCTTTTGAAGGTTCCTGCAAGGGAACATTAATTCAGAATCTTATGCAGTTTAGGGTTTTAAGAATGGTAAAAGATGCAAAATGCAGAACCTAAATTGAAAGTACGCATTTTAGAGCATTGGTCTAAGGCTTCATTTGGGACAGCTTTTAATCAGTATTTTGTTTTTCAGCTGCTTTTAGGATAATTTTGTGCTAGGAAGTTGTTGTCGTAAGCAGTAAAAAAGCTGTCCCAAATAAAACCTAAATTACGTAGAGATGTTAAGGTACATGGGAAAATTATATTAGGCTTCGTTTGAGACGGTTTTTATTGTATATTAAAATAATTTTTTAGTATAGAAAGTTATTTTAAGAAGCAGTAAAAAAGTCGTCTCAAATAAAGCCTTGGTCTCTTATCATATGGTTAAAATATGTCAACTTAGAAATAATAATCGTTGACATTACTGTATAACATAACTAATCAATTGAGTTTTATATATGTTAGAATATGATTGCATCAAGCCAAACTTTAATTATCATATAGGCTTCATTTGGAACAGCTTTTGGCTATTACTTTTTCATTGCTTTCAAGAAACTTTTGTTCTAAAAAATTGCTTTAGAAAGCAGTTAAAAAAACTGTCTCAAATGAAATCTTTGTCCACACTGTCTACTCAGAGTTAATAGATCAATGAGATCTAGTTATTCATCTTATGAGTGGCTCCTATGGTCAGGTCTTGGTTGCCTTTACAATCATGGTTTAGCAAAGTCCATGAGCAAATGAATATGCTCACACTACATGGATAAGTGTATTTTATTGCATGATACTCGTCGCAGAAAATGAAATTCAGATTCTTTTGAGTGTCATGATGGATGTAGAGTCTCAACATGGAGAAATATTACATGTAGAGTTTAGACATGTTTGGACTACAATGAAATCAAGTCACGTGGTTTGTACACTAAGTGTGTATAGTACACACCGCCCTATGTACAAGTTGTATATAGGGTGTGCACATCTTGTGTACAAGTTGTACATGGGGTATGTACAAATCACGCGGCTTAATTTTATTGGGTTCCAGACGTGAGCTACATCCTAACTCCACACGTAATAATTTCAGCTCAGCATGAGAGTTTTATGTTTGGTTAAAATATAAATACTTTGGAAATATATTGGGCTCACATTAACAGTGGTTTGTTCTTTTATGAAATTCAATAATACTATTTCACGATTGCACATTTAGGTTTGTAAAAACACTGCTACTTCGTGTTCAGTGCCTACACAAATGCAAACTTCACATGGCTCTAACATTAGGGGACCTAAACTTGTTTGGGTATCAAAATCTATGAAGTAAGCCTTTGTTGTAGGTATATCTTCATAAATCTATAAAGGTGTGGATCAAACTAATTCATAAGTGAATTAACTTAAGGAGCACACCCAACTTCTATATGCTCAACTCATTCAAAGAATTTACTTTAGTTTGAATTTGGAGATCAATTGGCGTAATAAAGGTTGAACAACATGAGCCTGTCAAATGATGTGTGATTAAATTGGTATAAAAATCTTAGTCAGACTATATGAAAGTCAGCAGTTTGCGGCGTAATATTGTTTGTTAAAAATGCCAACGAATTTGTGACGAAATGTTTTGGCAAAATTTTTGGATGGACTTTGCGGCGGAAAGTTCCGCCACAAATCTACCACAAATTCGCCGCAAACTAACACATCTAATCGATTAGTTGTGCATCAATTTCATTTTCTTGTTATGTTCTTCGACTTTGCTCCTCCGTCCTTTCTTCCTTTTCGATTTCAGCCTCGGCTTTGCTCTTCGACTTCACCTTCGCCTCCGTCGCCACTTGGTTGCTAGGGTTGTATTTCCTCTTCTCCGATTGATCAGCGGCTATTTGTTGCTATTCAACTTGCATGAGAGGTTGTTTTGAATGAGTCGCAAAATAACTTTTCACTTCCTTTGGCGATGTTCCTTCTAATCGTATCTGAAGTCACGCCTCCTTGTTATTATTCTATTGGATCAGAAGGAACAAGGATGACAGGAGCTTGGTCGTTGCAAAGGTACCTATCTTTCTTCCTTTCGCACGCTTCTTCATTCTAATCCTGTAAATCCCCCATACTCCCAGATTTAGTAAATTTGAGATTTACGATAGAAAGAGGGAAACAAAGGATTTAACTTGATCTGAGAAAAAAAAATAGTGACATACATAAATTGTATGCTTCTTAAACATACATGAATTGTGTGCTTCTTTATTCTCAACACCATAATATGAATAAACCAATAAATATGACCTCATATTATAAAGAATTTAGGGCAATTTTATAGAATTAGAACATATATAGCACAATTTGTTCCAAATGGAAAAACTAATACAATAGTTTTGAAAATAGTTATA